GCTGTAGCCCAGTCATCGTGTGACGCCGGTGTTGCTGGGTAACAGTAGCTGGTGTGTGAGCGTGGCCTGTGAGCGTACATGTTCATCCCCGGCATACCTGTACAGGAGCTGTTCTGTGTCTGCGGTGCCCTGAAACGAGCCCGGCTCCTCAAGGTCGGCATTGCTGAAGTGGTCTTCGTGCGCAAGGACGACGCCATTAACGCCTACAGGAAATACAACAACCGCTGCCTGGATGGTGAGGCGCTGTAGGCGGGGTCCACTGCGGCCATTTTGATTGGTTATTTTTATGATTGGGTCAGATGGGACCCCAACAGATGGCTCGTTCCCTCCTGCATTACTGTATTTGGGTAATGCAACTTTAACGTAGTTGCTCAAGCCTGTTTTTAATGTTGTACAGTCTCACTGTACTACTGTTAGGTATTTACAGTATTTTATAGAAGAAATTGATTTTCAAGGTTGCCTGTTACTGCCAGTTTGTCTTTATTAGCTTGAGTATTTGATTTGGTGTTTCTTAAATAATTGCCCTAAAACTTGCAGTAGTTATGAATGAGTTCAAACTGTACATTATGGATTTGCACTCTTTTCATCCCACTGAAGCCTTGTTGAAGATGTTCTGATTGGATAATGTGTCTATGTCTCTCTTCAGGCCAGCCAATGAGGTGCAATCTTCATATACAGGGAAACGTGATCACCTCAGACCAGCCAATTCTGCTGTGAGTCTCCCTCCATTTTCCTCTGTTAGTGTGAGGTCCTAACTGGAATTCTTTGCTGAACATCAAGGGCAAGGCAGGCGGCATAAGTGTTAAGGGTTCGGGTGCCTCACGTAAAGGCTGTCGGCTTATATCCCAGGGACGTTAATGCTGTGCTGTTAAAGCTGTTCAGGATGAATTGCTATGGGGGGAAAAAACCCAACTGTACGGTTAAAAAATAAAACCATATGTCATTTTGCATGGTTGTACTGGCTAAGCAGCTAAATATGGTCATTGGCACCTTAGGTACCCCTATGTAGTACCTGGTAGGAACGTTTTTGCTTCCGGAACTGCTCTGAGAAGCTTCTGCATAATGCTCATGACCTTGTGGCCTTCCTGCTAGCTTTGGCTCTCTTGCTGTTTTCAGCCACAGAAATGCCACAGACCAGATGGTTTTTGTTTATCACATTATTCTCTGTAAACTCTAGACACTGTAGTTTGTGAAAATCCCAGGAGGGAGACTGTCTATGAGAAGCCGGAAACACTGCATTCAAAACCAAGATCACACGTCTCCGCTGTTCTAATGCTTAGTCAAACAATAACTGAATTCCTTGACCCTGTTCAGATGCAGGCACACGATTGTGAGGCAGGCTGCTTACCTTAACAAACGTGTACCCCCCCCGGTACAATTTTACCCCGCTACCTTACATGTCTAGACTAGTCTGTTTTTGATTCTGTGGTGGTGTGGTAAACACAGTTCACATTTGCTCTTTCTCTCCTAGGAGACTAAGCGATACTCCAGGAGGAGGTGGCCGGAAGGAAGGAGCTCGCGCCTCCCTCTCTCGCTCGGGCCGTAGCAACTCCTCTCAGCCCACGCCGGAGGTGGATCCCCAAACCATCCTAAAGGCACTTTTCAAATCCTCGCCTCAGGTGGCCCCATCCAGCGAAGCCGCTGGTGCGCAGTCCGCCACGTACCGCGTCAAGATCTGACGGAAGCCGCGGTACGAATGACCTGTGGCTCCCAATGCAAGACAGACAGACAGACAGACAGACAGACAGACAGACGGACGGACGCACGCATATACATACACAGACCAATGAACACGCACGCATATACATACACAGACCAATGAACACGCACGCATATACATACACAGACCAATGAACACGCACGCATCATGTGACACTCAAGGC